AACTTAACTGAATGATATCGATATATCAGTATACAAAAAGACGTGTACATATAAAATATTAAATAATACAGCTTTTAATGATGTTCGCTGAACAAAAGGTCTGAGCGTAATTAATCGGATTTCTTTAAATGAACGAGCATCAAATATAAAAATAAGAAGATATTCATGAATGCCAAAACGACAACTATCAACCAAAGACCAAACGACATGAAATCAATGAACTATAGGTCACCGTACGGCCATACCGAAAACCAATCTTATATATTTTTGTATATTTGACATTTCAAAATCTTAACCACAATATACGGTACGGGTATTGCTCATTTTTGAAGACGGTATTACATGTATATATATTCTAAAGCGCTGTCCAATTAATTATTCCTGCTTTAAAAATTTTTTAACTGGTCCTTGATGCTGAGAAGATAAAATATATCGGAGGTAATTGTATTTAAAATCTTATTTTCCGAGAAAGTTTTTCAAATAGTGTGAAACTCTCTTCACATGAATGCACTTTTGGTTGCCACGTTAATTATATTGCACTGTACCAGATTTCTTCTCCTCAATATGAAATGTTAATATGATCAAGATACCCTTGTTTTTTTTATTGTTATTATAAAGATACCACGCAGCACCACAGATCAACAACGTGGCAAACGTATATGATGGCTTACGAAACCAATATTTGGAAGTAATTGATTATCCAACAATACATCGGGAAACAGAAAGAGGATCAGATACAAGCACAAAAGAAAGCGAAAGGGATGATGCTACTCATAGTTATGAAGAAATTAGTGATCTCACATTACATCAACCTGTGGAACATCAGGAATCCACGTTGACAGTAGAAAACCTAGAAAGTCCTCATTATATTGAGCTCGAATAAAACACAATCATTATTATGACAACTTTCTGGGTATTTTGATTTTTTTTTTTTTATGAATTGAAATAAAATAATTAGGTTCATTTTTGTATTTTCTTTTTACTTTCCAAATATACACGATCTTTAATGATTAGTTAAATTTTTTTGTCTCTCCTTAAACCGATCTTTAAAGTTGCGAATTGATAGTTTGTAACCAGTATTACTACAAAATATTCAAACAATAAACATACAAATGTATTAATAGTCTCTCAATAAAATTGTAATGCTTGCATAGCAATGTATAAAATGCATTTACCAAATCAGAAAGACAATATATTAATAATAACTTTTTTCTGCTCAACTTGCACTCTTCACATAGTCAATGGAATTATACTTGACAATACGACAAAAAAAACCATCATCATGATATTAAAAATAAAACAAAATATTAATCACACAATGAACACCAAATATTACCAAGTGTACCCTGTCCTACATGCCAAAGATGTTTAATAAAGGGGCCCTAATGATTCCTTTTGGTGGATAGTTAGTGGATTTAGAATATATTTCCTTTTATTGTAAAGAAAAAGCGTGTTTATGTTGGATATTTAAATCACAAAGATAGAGTTACCTCCAATCATTATCTATTTTACCAAGTGAAAAGAAATGAAATTCATTGTCAAGATTTTTTCACTTGTTACATATATAGTATGTGGTCACGTTGGATAATCTTGTATATCTTCAAACTTAAAAAGCAGGGGTCACTATCGCTTGATTTGCATATACGTTTTCTGGTATCAACATTCGGGTACTAGTATGTTTAACAATACTCTTGTTTATATTCAGTTTATTAACATTTAAATAATTTTAAAAAATACAATTGTTTATGATGTTGGCAGGGAAAATAAATTGTTATTCTTAATTGTCCTATCCTGCGAGTCACACGTTTTGGGTTTTCTTTTTATATTCCTTATGAAATAGTTGGTTGACATGTGCTTTTAACATATTGGGGAATAAATTAAAAAGACACCAACCATCGGCAAAGCCTATAACAAGCAGCATGGGTTCATTTTGTTTCTCCATTTCCCCTTTGAATATGAACAGTTTGTTCTATTGTTTAATGTGGTCAATATCAAAATAAAAAAAGGTGTATAACTTTTCAACGATGTTTCAATGATATTTCATGTCATCACAACAAAAGTGCTAAAAATAAACATATAATTTTTTTCGGTATTTTTGTTTTCTTCCACTTTTCTTTTAGTTTACCCACGTGGCAGCTTCCTATTTTTCGTTACCATCAAAGGATCGAAGGCGCTGCAGACCTGACTCTCTTTTTTTCCTCCGATATTCATTACCCATTTACTTGCATGACATTTAAAGCTGACCAGCTATACTGGCTTTACGATTGATTTAATGTTGTTGTTAAATGTCCAGTGGCAATATATATACGAAAGGTAGGTCATGCAATATCGTGTTGATTGAGATAACGAAAAAGAAATTTTAAATACCACAGAAAAGTTAAAATATATTGGATATGAATAGAATAGTAGACGTGCAACCTACGGTCCACCCAATGAGTTATTGCCAGGATTCTTATCGTGCGGAAAGCATGGCACTATCTCAACACTAGGCATCAAATTTATCGTCCCTATTCGGATCAGAATATTCATTCATTCCGATAACCAAACGGACGCTCTTCTATAGCAAGAGTTTTACTGCCGGTCGGAAGAAAACATAAAGTGATCATATTACTATTCCCAAGTCACCCTAGCGAGGGGTTCTGACGATATTCAGTTGAAATGGTCCGACGAAGACATCACCACCGACCAGTGTCCAATATAAAAAGACAATATAAAAGGAGACATCTATGACAAACAAATTCACATTCAATCACAATCCTTCTGCGTGTTCGTAATTGTTATCGTCATTACGTGTCAATTAAATTTCCGTATCCATGCATTCCAATCCATATATAGTTTTTCAAAATATCTAGTTTAGCTGTGTATCTGACTAGCGTATTTTGTATCAAAGACTGACATGTAAACTTCTTCTTTGTATCAGCTTCCTATAGACAGGAACACCTCTAATGATATTAGAGTATAAGGGTAATTTTGTAGAGAAATTTGTTGTTGTATTGTATTTCAACCAACTTTGTACAACACACTAGGTAGAATGTTTTTATTTTTTTTATGAATGTGACTTCATACGCGGAACCAGGTGGGGCCCCAGGGGGGAGGGGGCGCCCCCCCCCCCCCTTTTGTGGGAAAAAATGGTTGATTATAGAGGGAATCACTGAAGCATGACTGGAGCGGGCCCCCTCTTAGGGCAGTCAGTGCCCCCCTCCCTTTATGAAAAATTCTGGATCCGTCAATGGACTTTAAAAGTTATACATACAGTTCTGGCTTTTATTTTGTTTAATATTACAAACTTATATTATTTACATGTGTGGGTGTTATGTATGTCAAAGTCAATAACAGGATCAAAATTAGAGATACTCATAAGGATTTAATTTACATAGGGAGTTAATGTATACATGTGTTATAAACTTAAAAAGCAGCTTCGGCTGTCAAAATATAATTTTGAATTGTTATTAAAGAGTTCAATGGGGAATTAAATGAGAAAAGTATGAATCTATTATTTAAGCATTCGTAAGAAAAAAATTTATGCAATGTATGATATGCTAGAATATATGTTTGTAATATTTTGAATTTATAAGTATTTTTGTTTTTGCTATTGTGGAAATTACTTCATGAATATACCAAAGAAGAACAAATTAAATCATAAATTATGATGGTAGATTCCGTAAACCGAGAACATGACTGCTTTGAATTGAAAGAAAACATAACTGTATGACGCCTTCTCCTTTGCGTAAATTAATTTCAGTATGGTAGAATGATCCTGATTGCGTTCAGTTATCACAATTGGTTTCGTTCTGTCTTAAGTCATTGATATGACTTAAAGTAAACGTGGGAAAAATTTGTCTGTAGTAAATAAGCAAGACAAATCATGCAAAATAGAGGTCCAGAGGTCAAGTGTCTCAATAAAAAATGACCAGTTCATAATGCGCGTGTGTGCCAAGTCATCCATTACCTAAAATCATTTCATAAGAGCTATATATCTGCTCATATTTTACTTTAGAGCTGTATATATCCTGTTGAAGACTGTATATTGAAATCTAGATGTGTTTTGGTTATACCCCAAATCTCCTTTATTGGCATACAGTTTTCTTTGAAGTCGAATAAATGTTGCATGAATACTCCATTCAAAATATAAGTATTTTAGACAGACTGAAACCGAGCTTAACTTATTAACCTACCGAATTAGACTATTTACCGGATTTTTAATAACATAAGCAACACGACGGGTGCCACATGTGGAGCAGGATCTGCTTACCCTTCCAGAGCACCTGAGATCACCCCCAGTTTTTGGTGGGGTTCGTGTTGCTTAGTCTTTAGTTTTATATGTTGTGTCATCTGTACTATTATTTGTCTGTTCGTCTTTTTATTTTTGGCCATGGCGTCGTCAGTTTGTTTTCGATCTGTGAGTTTGACTGTCCCTCTGGTATCTTTCGTCCCTCTCTTATTAAGATATTAAGCTTTCAATTACCTCACGCAAAGTTGATCTTGTATAGTTTTGGCTCTTATTATGAGGTCCTTTTGGTCATATAGCTCTTCAATTGTTTCGGTTCTTATACATCCTTGGCTTTCAAACATTCGGCTTTAAGTGTTCCTGATGAAGTTATATCCAGAAAAGCGCTTCGGACGCAAAAAATAAAAAAAAGTAATTTTGATTTTTGTTTTAAAAGCAACCAAGCTGACGTATATACTTCTTTTTCATAATATTGAAAAAGCACACTATTTTCTTCATATTTGAAAAGTATAAAAGAATCTTATGGCATTGCGATTTATTCTACCGTGCTACTTTTCGAAGTAAATGGAAATACATAATATAGATCAATGATCATCAATCATTGTCATGACCCTGTCAACTGGTCAACTGAAAAAAAAATACAAAACCAAATCGGTGAACTTCAGAATAGTTTATCTTAAAAATAAATTATGTAGTATTTAGTAGATACAGATTGTAAAACTAAAATTTTATTGTTATTTGCTGAACATTTTCCCTTTGTGTTCAGCAAACTAACATACATGGATGCCTTGTCAAATGCGATAGGCAAGGTAACTTTTGTAACTACTTATAGTGCAATAAACTTGTTTTAGAGGAAAGAAAAGAAATATATAAGGATGACTGTATCCTTTAATTTACACTCGTCTCATGTAATAATGTCGACATAATGATGATGATCTTTAATTTGACTGTATTGGTTGTCTTCAGATTTTTCTCCAGTAAACTCACATTCCTCAATCCTGCTTATTAGTGTATTAGCATGATGATTAATATACGGTGACCTTGGTTGGATATATGAACCTCTTCCTGTATTATGTTGCATTGCAGTATAACTATGATCTGCTGATACAGAACCAATGTCTTCATATGCCCTGGAGAGAAATAGTTGCATAGATTTAACATCCGACCTATCAGATCTACCTATATTGAGTTTGAAAAGGGCGATTGAACATTATGTTGATTAGAGCTATTATATTTCAATTGCGGATTTTATGGTAAAAGAGCGATAATCAGGGTGAAAATATATTATATATGAAAAATGGGGAATGTGTCAAAGAGACAACAACCCGACCAAAAAGTAGAAAACAGCCCAAGACCACCAATGGCTCTTTTAGTTTTTAGTATTTCGAATGATTTCACATTATCACAGGACACAATATTTTGTAGATAAATACATTTGTACCTATATCTAAAGACAAATTCTTTGCGTATATATGCCTTCTGAGCATAATAAGAAATTTTGATTGTAAGTGTGTTTTCAACATTATCAATTCCACTGATAAAATGTCTATTAAAACGTTAGTTTGGTTGAACTTCATATCAATATTGTTCAGTAAAATTTCTGAACACCGTACTGCTGTCAAATTTCACTGGATTGCCTCCTTCAAGATAATAAGGGTTTTAATTGATGGTCATCATTTAAATCGACGACGCAAAGAATTATCATTTGGGGATTCCGATATTAACAAACATACAATGTATATAGGCATTGAGTTCTAATTTTAAAGTTGATTGTATGACAAAACACGTATTTTATTATCAAATGTTTTTGATGAAATCTACATAGCTTTCTGAATATCGGGAAAAAAACGTATTAACAAAAATACCGAACTCCAAGGTAAATTCAAAACGGGAGAACTTATAAAACGGAGCAACTAGATATCAACTGTCTTATTTCTGTCTAAGCTCAGGCATTTTCCGAAGTAACTTGTGGGTTAGACCTGATTATATAACTAGCTAAATCCCCCCACCTGTCAAAAGTTATTTGCTGCAATAAATGGTTTAATGTAGTCTAATGACATTGTTTACTGTAGTTTAATTGTTTACCTGATTGTATCCGTGGTATGTCTGTGACGCTTTCTTAAAGCTTAAACGAAACAACAACAATTAAAATTGAGAATGGAAATGGGGAATGTGTCAAAGAGACAACAACCCGACCATAGAACAGACAACAGCAGAAGGTCACCAACAGGTCTTCAATGCAGCGAGAAATTCCCGCACCCGGAGGCGTCCTTCAGCTGGCCCCTAAACAAATATATATACTAGTTCAGTGATAATGAACGCCATACTAAACTCCAAATTGTACACAAGAAACTAAAATTAAAAATAATACAAGACTAACAAAGGCTAGAGGCTCCTGACTTGGGACAGGCGCAAAAATGCGGCGGGGTTAAACATGTTTATGAGATCTCAACCCTCCCCCTATACCTCTAGCCAATGTAGAAAAGTAAACGCATAACAATTGTATTGGGTTATGGTATTTTCTTTTTCTTTCATCTTTGTTTAAACAACTATCATTAACAATAAACTTATGGGAAATTATGGTGAATTGTTTTTTTGATGTTTAATGCATATGCAAGGGACGATGAATGTTTATTTACCAACACTTTTTTGTTGGCGCCTTTGTTAGATTTATTTGTATGTTTGGTAGAAAGTTTTAGTCTGTTGTGTTGTATATCTGTGATGAGGTCTGTTTGCACAGTTATGGCTGCAGGATCCCAATTATCGTTACATGTATATAAAAAATAAGAAGATGTGGTTTCTATTTGGGTTGCTCACTATTATTTTTTTCTTCAATTTAATGGAGGTATAAACAACTGTCATATAAGTGGGAGGTTAAGCCAGCTATAAAACCAGGTTTAACTCATTGTTTTCTTTAAACAGTGCCTGTGCCAAGTCAGGAATATGACAGTTATTTTCAATTCTTTCTTTTGGTTGATAAGGTTGTCAGTTTTTATCACGGGGGGGGTCTCTTCCTATATGAAGGTATATACATATGTGCCGCTGGAATGGGTCCCTTTTTTGATACGTCAAATATATCAATGGGGTGCAATTTTACCGAGGAAATATATCAAAAGGTAGTAATTGACCAAAGTGTTTTTAATATATAATAAGATTGTATATGCATATAGGTACTATTTGAGCTGATAAATATATGAATGGGTTATGATTTCGCTGTGAAGTATATGTATAGGTAGGGATTTCACAATTATTCAAGATATGAATGGGGGGTGTTTTTTAAATCCCAGCTGCACAAATGTACCCAAAATCCCATGTTGAGACACCCCCCCCCCCCCCCCCCCCCCCGTGGTTTTTATGGACTTTTCCCTTTTTGAATTTTCCTTGGAAATCGGTTTTTTTTTTGTTATACCTTTTTGACAATCAAATATAAACTTATAATTATCTTATATCAGTATAGTTGCACAAATTTGTAAAGTATTGTCTGTGCAGTATCCTCCATTCTAGACAATCACATACCAAATAAATTTCAGTTTGAATCATGCTGAGCATAGGTTCACCGGTTTATCAGTCGTAGTTATGTTGCTGGTATATTTGTGTATTTATTTGTTGGTGTTTAATGATACTTTCTACAACCGTGGCGTTATCAAAGCGGCAACTTTTTATTGGAAGATGAAGTCAGAGTACCCGATGAGAACCACTGCCCATTTCTGCGGGAATGGGTTTTCTTAGTATAAATACCACAAAACGTCGAAAAAAGCGTAACTATCAGTGTATGTGACGTGTTTTTTTTTTTACTGTAAACAAGGTAATAGATTGGTTAAAATGTTAAACATCAAGTCGGTCTCCTTTGATTAAATGGAATTTTATGTGGCAGCAACTGATCAATTTTCAAGAAAATTTATGAATTAGTTTTGGATATTTGATGATTTTTTTTTTAGAGTCCCACTGATTAGTCTGGTGTTGACGAAGCACACCGGGCGTATTAAATTATAAACTGGTACATCCTTGATGAGTTTTTGAAACCGACGGGTCGATGCAACATCCAGTGGATGTTTCGTTATCAATTTTCGTGTTGACAGGAAATATCCTTAATATGTTCCTTTTCTATCAATTTACTGTTTATATAATGTGAGTTGTTAGAAACACTAACTTGAAATGTTTTCAAATCCTAAATATAGATTACCTTAGTCGTATTTCATGTGTGGAACTAAACATATGTTTTATGTAATTATGATTTATTGAGTGGTTAAAAAATGCGTTACCAATGTTTATTTCCTGAGTAGGATGTGTTGCTGGAGAAGTGAAAGGGAAAACTACGGGTTTCAGTTCCTGTCATAGTATGTAGGTGTCAATGCACATAGACAGATAGATATATGTATTTAAAGAAAAAAATGTACCTGTTTTCCTTAGCCTTATAATGATAATGATGAATATGATAGATACAAGCACCAAAAGAACGCCTAATATAGATCCAACCAAAGTAACAGATGAGGTGCATGGTGAACTGCCTTCATTTAAATTCCCTACAGACAAAGAAAATGAAAAACAAAATTATAATAATAACAATATGTTTCACTGTTAATACCTAGTGTTATGTCTACCAAATGAAATTCTTTGAAATTCTTCATTCGTTCCATTATTTTTTTCTCTTTCTTGATGCAATATCAACGTTTTATTTTTATTTACTTTTAAGTAATATACATTTTGATGCTATTTTCAAAATCTAATAGTACATTGGAGACAGCATGACTTATTTCGTTTCAAGATTTTTGACAAATTATTTCTAAAATATTATAGTTACAAATTCCAAAGCATGAATAGACAGCCTTTCAAAATGCAATATTATTTATCTTTGATATTCATCTTCAACAAGAACGATTCTTAATATTGCTGTAAATGTTTACATGCATCGGTTTAGTTCTGTGACGTTGCGTACATTTGAATCCAGTTTAACAAACTATTATGAATGTACTGTAACTTCATGTTAAAAATATGCAAAGAAATTTTATTTCAGTATTAAATCTTTAAAAATGGTTATAAATCTTTTGGCAGACCCTTTGCGCTTGCTTAAATTAAACTTCCTTTTTTTACGAAGTCTCATAGTGTGAATACCTCCTGGAGAATTACCCCATCCCAAGTACGGTTTCTTCGTTGATGAAACTAAGTCTGACACATTAAGCGAGCCTTCTCTCCCAGTTATCAGAGTACTTGTTGTAGAGCTACCCCATCTCAAATACGGTTTATCCGTTGTTGACATTGAATCTGTTACATTAGGGGATTCTACACTTCTAGTCGGCAGAGTACTTCTTGTAGAATTACCCAATCCCCAGTACGGTTTCTCTGTTGTAGACATCAATTCTGTTACATTAGTAGATTCTACACTTCTAGTCGGCAGAGTACTTCTTGTAGAATTACCCAATCCCCAGTATGGTTTCTCTGTTGTAGACATCAAGTCTGTTACATTAGGGGACTCTACACTTCTAGTTGGCAGAATACTTCTTGTAGATTCACCTTGTCCCAAATACGGTTTCTCCGTTGATAAAACTTGATTGAAAATCCCTTTCTGAACGTTTATTTTAATGGAAGCTGTTCTTTATCTAATGTAAAATGTTCGAATGAATAAAACAAATTAGTAAAGATACAAATAAGTAAATTCGGTAGGATAGCCAATGAGACAAATATCCACTAGAGGCCAAATGAGGTGGGTGTAGCACTAACGGTCACTGTATAGCTTTCAACAAAGAGGAAAACTCGTAAAGCTGACTATAAAACATCATCTGTCAGATATCAGTAACAATCATTTGATTGTGTCTTTAATAACAATGTAAAGCATTTTATCTTAGTAATACCTCCTATTTACCTGATATACACTTTTAGGAATATCATTAGTTAAAACCGAACACGTGGAGTCCGTGTATATTTGATATCACGGTTAGTAGTGATGTTACGTCCCTTTATAAGATTAATACAGTTATAGTAGAGTTACGTTCCTTTAAAAAAAAAGGTGTTGTCCTCAAAGTAACATACATTGTGAACAGACATATTAACTATAATATTTTCATGCTTTTAGACCAAACATGTCTTAGAGACGACATTTTTCTTACTCTAAATAATTGAATGTTCTGTTTACTTTTATGTTAAAATTGTAATATCAAGGTTTACAACTACGTCGATCGCGAACTTCCCCAAATTAGATAGTTAGTAAGATAAATTCTTACACAGTGTGCTAGTGACCTAATACAATATACACAGGGTCAGTAAATTCCATATGGGGCTCGAGCTTTGCTCGCTCTCGTTCCATATGGAATTTACTGAACCTGTACATGTATTGTCTTTCATAAGATAATATCGTTCATATTTCACCATTACTGGGGTATATTTACTAGAATATCACTTTCTTACTCTGTGAAATTTTTCAAAAACTAGACTAGTATGCTTTTTTAACCCTTCAGCATTTACCGGGCTGAAGTACGTTCACTATTCACTTTTCACTATTCAAAATTCACGAATAGTGAACTGTGTTTTTTTGCACTATTCACTATTCACTATTCACTTTTCACTTTTCACTATTCAAAATTCACGAATAGTGAACTGTGTTTTTTTGCACTATTCACTATTCAAGTTTATTCAAATTGAATAACTTTGATATCTACTTGTATATATGAAAAAGAAGATGTGGTATGATTGCCAATGAGACAACTCTCCACAAGAGACCAAATGACACAGAAATTAACAGATATAGGTGACCGTACGGCCTTAAACAATGAGCAAAGCCCATACCGCATAGTGCAGCACTAAAAGACCCCGAAATCACGAATGTAAAATTAATTAGGGGATACGGGGGTTCAAAACTCGATCGTAACGTGATCTGTGGTGTATTTTTTCTTAGGTTCGGCCGTTTTCGGTTTTCGGTCGCTCGTTACCCCTTGAATCGCATCTGTGCCACATATTCACTATATAGCTTTTGTTTCTCATTTTATTACCTTTCTTGTGATACATTTATATAGGATATACCTGTAATTAGGGGATACGGGGGTTCAAAACTCGAGTGTAACGTGATCTGTGGTGTATTTTTTCTTAGGTTTGGCCGTTTTCGGTTTTCGGTCGCTCGTTACCCCTTAAATCGCATCTGTGCCACATATTCACTATATAGCTTTTGTTCCTCATTTTATTACCTTTCTTGTGATATATAGGATATACCTGTAATTAGGGGATACGGGGGCTCAAAACTCGATCGTAACGTGATCTGTGTTGTATTTTTTCTTAGGTTCGGCCGTTTTCGGTTTTCGGTCGCTCGTTACCCCTTAAATCGCATCTGTGCCATATATTCACTATATAGCTTTTGTTCCTCATTTTATTACCTTTCTTGTGATACATGTATATAGGATATACCTGTAATTAGGGGATATGGGGGTTCAAAACTCGAGTGTAACGTGATCTGTGGTGTATTTTTTCTTAGGTTCGGCCGTTTTCGGTTTTCGGTCGCTCGTTACCCCATAAATCGCATCTGTGCCACATATTCACTATATAGCTTTTGTTCCTCATTTTATTACCTTTCTTGTGATATATAGGATATACCTGTAATTAGGGGATACGGGGGCTCAAAACTCGATCGTAACGTGATCTGTGGTGTATTTTTTCTTAGGTTCGGCCGTTTTCAGTTTTCGGTCGCTCGTTACCCCTTAAATCGCATCTGTGCCACATATTCACTATATAGCTTTTGTTCCTCATTTTATTACCTTTCTTGTGATACATGTATATAGGATATACCTGTAATAAGGGGATACGGGGGTTCAAAACTCGAGTGTAACGTGATCTGTGGTGTATTTTTTCTTAGGTTCGGCCGTTTTCGGTTTTCGGTCGCTCGTTACCCCTTAAATCGCATCTGTGCCACATATTCACTATATAGCTTTTGTTCCTCATTTTATTACCTTTCTTGTGATATATAGGATATACCTGTAATTAGGGGATACGGGGGTTCAAAACTCGATCGTAACGTGATCTGTGGTGTATTTTTTCTTAGGTTCGGCCGTTTTCGGTTTTCGGTCGCTCGTTACCCCTTGAATCGCATCTGTGCCACATATTCACTATATAGCTTTTGTTTCTCATTTTATTACCTTTCTTGTGATACATTTATATAGGATATACCTGTAATTAGGGGATACGGGGGTTCAAAACTCGAGTGTAACGTGATCTGTGGTGTATTTTTTCTTAGGTTTGGCCGTTTTCGGTTTTCGGTCGCTCGTTACCCCTTAAATCGCATCTGTGCCACATATTCACTATATAGCTTTTGTTTCTCATTTTATTACCTTTCTTGTGATATATAGGATATACCTGTAATTAGGGGATACGGGGGTTCAAAACTCGATCGTAACGTGATCTGTGGTGTATTTTTTCTTAGGTTCGGCCGTTTTCGGTTTTCGGTCGCTCGTTACCCCTTAAATCGCATCTGTGCCACATATTCACTATATAGCTTTTGTTCCTCATTTTATTACCTTTCTTGTGATGTATAGGATATACCTGTAATTAGGGGATACGGGGATTCAAAACTCGATCGTAACGTGATCTGTGGTGTATTTTTTCTTTTTTGAGAATTTGAAAAGAATTATTGGCACTCAAAGACGTATTTGTTTTCACTCCCCTGACACAAGGTGTACCGTTCAGTCGGTAGATTACGTTAACTGTGGACATCTTGATAGTGAAATGAGTCTGAAACGAATGCTCACTTTAATGCTTTATGAATAAAAGTAGACACCACCCCTAGAAATATACGTAACAAACTGAGTGCGACAATTGTACCGTAAACTTCTAGATATATGCATAAGTGGGTTTTAGATGCATGATCAAATGTAATGTTACGTAAAAAATAAATAATTCAGTCTAAATATTAAAAAGGGATAGGTCTAACAAATATCTTTTCTCTTTATACCTTAATACAATATAATTCTATAGAGATTTCTACTTACGTTACTTTCGTTTTTGACTGCAAACCTATCTAAATTATCGTTTGCAAAATAATATTTATTTATTAAATGATTACTCATAAAAATAATTTAATGATATAGATTGATAATATGAAAATATTGTGTCGTTAGAAATATATATATATAATAAAGGTAAAAAATCATGGATATTTTTGCACTTGTTTAGAAGAATAACAATTATCCCGTTGGTTTTTCTCTTTTGAATTCCTTTTACATTTATGATTTATGCGGTATGGGATTTGCACATTGCTGAAGGCCGTACGGTGACCTAAAGCTTGTAATGTCTGTGTCATTGGCAATCATACCATTTTTTTCTGATTTTTATATATACAAGTAGATACTACAGTTATTCATGACAATTTAATAAACTTGAATAGTGAAAAGTGCAAAAAAACACAGTTCACTATTCATGAATTGTGAATAGTGAAAAGTGAATAGTGAATAGTGAACGTACTTCAGCCCGGTTCAGCATTTGAGCTCTTTTTTAAATGCAGCGGTTTTTTGCCAACGTATTGATAATAAATGAATAATTAATTGATTGATTGATTGTTGTTTGCTTGGAGTCAGGTGGCAAATATTCCATGAATATTCAGGACGAGCACAGATTTACAAGTAATGCAATAGGTAGACTGGTATGACCATATTTCTATAAACAAGTCAACACATAAAGTGATAGTGAAAAAATCATGAAATTAAATTAAATCTCGAATGGTTAATATAATATCTATTATTATTCCGCGGCGTAAATAAACAGATACATTATGTTCAGGAGTAAACAATACCATCAGAGAGAAGGTAACAGTTTCTCAACCGAATGGTATTGATAACCTTCCTGAACACAATATATCTGTTTAATTACGCCGGATATTTCTATCATTTGAAGATATATGGTCATCCCTTGGATCATACGAAACAATTCATTACGTTGATTGAGATTATAACTGAACTATTTATATAGACTATGAGAACTGTTTTACATTGATATGATAGAGAAACAGAACACAGAAAAATCCATTGCCTAAACTTTAAAAGAAAAAAGTCAATTAGACATCAAGCCAACAACATAAAACCTACATTAGATTGAAATACCTCACAGCTTTTTTGTTTTGCTTACTATTGGTTCAAATTGTCTTTTCCTTTTTTTCTTTTGGTGTTGTCCATCCCTTTTTACTGATCGATATTGGTTGCTCCTAATGACATATTTTTTTCGGGTTTTATGTACAGGACCAATGAAACACTGTAATTAAATATATTTGATTTTGTTTCGGCATAGAGATGTTTTGTTTTGGCAAAGAGATGTTTTTGTTTTGCCATAGAGATATTTTGTGTTGACATAGAGTTTTTTGTGTTGCATTCAAAAGTCGGTATAATAAATACAATTAACTTACGTTTAACGATATTTCTTCAACAATAAAAGCTATGTATATATTTTATCAATATAATAAACAAGAAACTTATTGTTGACTAATCGGAAACAAATCAATGTCATTTACCGGCATAATTAAATAAGAACAATATGTTTAATTTTTATCAATTGAATCTTGGAACAGCAGGAAATGTAAACAAATATTTTAATATTTCTGACATTGATAAATATATTTTGTAGTGAATCATTTTGA